CCTACCAGTTTTAATCAAAAAATAAAAAAATCAGTTCCAGCAGATGCTTTATTTCTAAAATGTTGGGGTCTCTCATGTGGAATCCGTCTTCCCGTCAGGAACCTGTTTCCCTGCGGCGACTCCATGGTCTGCATCATCGACGACCGCGAGGACGTGTGGAAGTTTGCGCCAAACCTCATCACTGTGAAGAAATACATCTACTTCCAGGGCACCGGAGACATCAACGCCCCGCCGGGGTCACGGGAAGCTCAGCTGGCCAGGAAAGGTGAGTCTGGTCCTTTGCAGCTAAAGGTTGGACAGAACTGCATGCTGGGAAAGAACTAAACAATCAGGAATGAGCTCTAGTAGTTCTTTTGATCTTTGGGATTTGCTCGTCTCACCAACAATTAAATCTTAAAAACAACTTAGCGCCGTGGTTAGGTATGTTTGGAAGTTTTTGTTCAGAATCATCGGTGAACCATGAGAGTTAAAGCTGTAAAACTCTAACTACTACATTGTTAGGCTGCCTATTGAGGTTCAGTGATTTTACTGCAGAGAGGATTTATTTGCAGGAGATTTTATAGACAGAAACTCAACAATCCCCTCCATGCAAGCATTTGTCCGTGGTTTAATTTCCTGCCTCCATGATCTTAGAGCCAGAACAACCCCCTGGCACTGCTGTAGCGTGCTCTGTCTCCTCCGATTATTTCGCCGGCGGATCTTGTCCGTTCAGCCCTGTGGCTCCAAGCGATCTTTTATTCTGCTCCCAACAAGGAAACTTTTACTTATTTATTCCCATTTTTTAAATTTATTTTTCCTAGTTTGCCTTGTTGACAGGTTATCTCCTCACATATTTCACGCTCAAACGGAGTCGCTGGCTGCGGAGTGACTCAGCGTTCCCAGAGGATTCAGACTTGCCTTGCAGCAGTTTTCTCCTCCAAGAAATGTTTGCCAACAAGTTGGGAGACTGGCTGTGCTGAAATCTCAGCGATTCAGACTGTATTAGAGAGAAATGTTCTACAAACTTGATCAAGTAGGAAGAAGTAAATGAGCTTGATTGGGTTTTGGAGGCTGGGATCCAAATAGGTCTGGAGTCAGGCTGTTGGTTCAGTTTCAGAGCTTTGAGGATGTTTCACACTCCTTTAACTTGTTCATGTTAAGTTTCTGATAGTTGAACTCATAGAAGTTGATAATATTAAAAGCTTTTTACAGTTCTGTATGTATATTCTCTGAATCCACTCTAGAGATGAACTGATTCGTCAGCCTGCTGATATTTTTAGCCGATATATTCGCTTTTTCTTTTGTTTTGTTCTTTTTCTTTCAGTTTCGGTTTATATCATAATGCAGTGGTTCCTAAAGCGGGGGGATAGCTGCACTGTAATAGGGGAGGACTGGTAGAAATGTATTGAATTAATGACCCATTTTGAGAGTTTATTTAATTATTTATTGATAATGATGTTGAAAACTTTTACTCTGTAGAATAAACGCCTAAACCAAAAAAAACTGCACTCTTAAAACCCCATTTACACTACCCTCTGAGATCAGATCCATGACGAGCCTATTTGTGGGTCGTGGAGTAAAAAATGTGGAGGTATGTCTGTTCTTAGCCTCACAGGGTCCAAACGAAGGTCATGAGAGAAAAGAATGAGTTACACAGCTTCCTTCATGGCATGAAGGGGAGGACGGCTGTTTTGAGAAGATCCATCTGGCCAGTGAAAGATATATTAACCTAACAAATCTTCAAGTGTGAGAAAGTTCTTTAAGCAGGGGGTGGGTTGGTTTCCTTGGGGGGACTTTGTATTGGGATTTTTGTAAGGTATAAATGTATGTACTAAGTGTAGGGTAAATCCAAGAGTTTCAATTAAATCCGTATTAAGTTGGAGCTTTGTGGCTGAGGCGTGTTCCAGGATCCACAAAAAAAAAAACAATAGCCTCCACTGACGTCACGTTTTGCCTTTTATATTTTAAAACAAAGGCGATAACAAAAAACGAACGTATACAAAATATACCTCCTAAACTTTCACAAAACTAAATCTGAGGTTCCACAGAGTAACAATATGAGCATGGCCCAAGCAAGACACGGTCAGAAAACCGTGAGGCACCAACCTTCCTCCTCCTGTGTCTGTTTACAACGGTTACCTCACCGGGCACCTGGCGCAGAAAAATGACGTCATCAAAAGGCACACTAAGCAGCGTCCTGTAAATATTTTAAATTAACATTTTTTAACTTGTACATATTTTTAAATCAAATTATTATGTCACTCATTAATGTAAATGAAATATCAAATTCTCATAATACAAATAATTTCAAACTATACATAAAATAGGCATATGGCGCCTACACTAAGGTTGCCTCAGTCAGAGCTCTATCTCTCTGTCTAAGGACGTTCAATAAATTTGAACATTATTTCTTGCAAGAAATGTCTCTGTCTCAGCTCCCTGCCTCCACAACACGAAAGGTAAAGTTTGCCTGAAAAGTGTGGGGACTACGCAAAGTAACACATCCAACCTCCTCCACCTACAGCACAGCCACACTGTTCAGTTTAAAGATGTGCAAAAGGCTCCATTACCTTAGGGCAAAAATGTTTGCAAGAGAGGAAATACTTTTCTCCTGTTGAATGAGAAATTGTTGAATGTTTAAACCTGAATACGTAAAAGACTTTAATATCTAATTAAAAGTAATATCTAATGTGATTTATTGAACAAATAAATGATAAATAGATCAGTTTAATTTCCTGTACATGCCTTTATTTCTGATAGAGGAGCCAGAGCATTATTGTTATCGAGGTAAAACTGCCTAATTTACGGATATATCCATTTGAGGTCATGTCACCTAGCACTAACTATAAACCCAATAGGATAAAGTCTGTGTTAATGTCTATTTGTCACCAGCTGGTCTTACCTTCATGTCTCCCTGCAGGAGCCCCTCAGAGTCGAACAACAGAGAGCGCAGAACACGTGGAGGCGATTGGTGCTGAGGAGAAAAACAACGGCGTCAAGAAACGGTCCAAGGAGGCCAGTGTTTCAGGGAAGGAAGAGCTTTCCTTACCTTCTCAGGAAGGAGCTGCTAGCGAAAGGACAGGTGGTGGGGGGGCGGCGGCTGAGGCGGAGGAGGCGGAGTCAGAGGCCGGTCAGACTGCTTTAGAGTCTGGGCTGAAATCAGAGAACACTCAGGGGGAGGAGAAGAAGGATGCTAAAGATGCTGATGGAAACAGGAAAGAGGAGGCAGAGGGAGGCACGAACTCGTCCGCACCGAGTCACGAGTCCAATAACCTAGACTTTGAACTCTCTAGTGACAGCAACAGTGACTCGGAAACAGAAAAGCCGTCCTCACCGGGCGACGCGAGTCAGAGCAGGACTGGCACCACAGGGGATTCTAAACAGGAAGGAGATTCACAGCAGGACGCAGACGCTAAAGGTTCCAACAGCTCGGAGTCGGCACTTCCAGACCCCGAGCTGGAAAACGGCGAGAGGAGAGAGCCGGAAACCGAGTCCCAGAACAGCGAACAGTCCGGAGTCACGGTGGGAGAGGAGCTACTTGACCAGAGCATGGAAGATGAGGACGAAGAGGAAGCCGACAACGACCATGACGACCACCTCATCTACCTGGAGGAGGTCCTGGAACGGATCCACGCGGAGTACTTCGCCCGCTACGAGACCTACCTGAGGAAGGAGACGTCGGAAATGCCGGACATCCGCAGGATTGTCCCGGAGCTGAAGAGCAAGACGCTGGAGGGCTCCACGGTGGTTTTCAGCGGGCTGTACCCCACCAACTACCCCATGGAGAGGACCAGGGAGTACTACCACGCTAAAGCCCTGGGGGCCAGAATCGGCAAGAGTCTGATTCTCAACTCCAAGGACCCCAACCGGACCACACATCTGGTGGCAGCGAGGGCAGGTATGCAGAAACAGGTTACAGATAATGTCCAAATATTTGATTTCTGTGAATGAATCAGGTGGTTTACCCACCACCTTCCAGAGAACAATTTACAGAAAACAACCCAGATTTTCTGTGATTGAATATGATTCTAATGACAGGAAAAAAGGTCAAAGCGGTAGCTACTTTGATGTTTAAGTAAAAGTATAAAAAAAAAAAAATAAATAAATAAATAAAAAAAATAGAGATGACCCTGAAAAATCTGTTCGTTAGACATACAGAGGTTTTTCTGCAAAAATGGCAACAGATTATAAGTTTATATAAGTTAGTATTATAATGCAGGAAGCTTGAGACAGTTTGAACAGTTTGTTCTTGTTTACTAGTTCTTCCTAGTTACAGGTTAAAATGAACACGTTCTCTTATGGTGAAGACAGAATCAGACTGCAGAGCATCTAGATATCTTGAAATGTTGTTATATTAGTAAAGAGGTTCATAAATGTTTTTAATAAGAGCACAGAGAGAAGCAGGTGGGTCCGGATCTGGACCGCTGTGCATTTATATGTTAATGCGTTAATCTTTTTGGGCCATATATATATATATCTACTCCACCCCATCGCTCATGAAAGCGTAGGGGTGGAGTAACTGTAGATCCATCATCCCCCACCCAAGTGTCCCAACCAACTTTCATCACAAAGTTACACCCTTGCTTGATAGACTTAAGATTTCAGTTTAAAAGTAATTTGTTTAGTGTGAATACATTTGATCATTAATTCTTTTAATTTAGTTTTTAATTGTATCTAAACTAGGGCTGCAACAACGAATCGATAAAATCGATTTTTAAAAGCGTTGGCAAAGAATTTCATCATCGATTAGTTGTGTCGCGCGAT